ATCCATTTAGATCCATTTAAATCCATTTAGATCCATTTGGATCCAGGCTCAGAGCTTTCCAGTAAACCTTGACGAGATTTATTTAAATTTCCGCCTCCATCTTTATGTCAAATCCTCCTTTTGTTGCTTTGTCGCTCATGAAAACACATTTATAACACAATTATCCCAAACAGATCACAACCAGAGGAAGATTTGGGGACATTTGAACGATCCGAGTCACAAAAAATGAGAATATTAACACAAATTAAGTTCCGTTTTTGGCTAATCTTATGAATATTCATGCATTTTTCACATTTTTATGGGACTTGCACATTTCAATTGCTCATTGCTCTTATTGATCTCCCTGGAGATCAATAAAGTATAAAGTATATTCAATTCAATTGTACATTCAGATCTATAGTTTTAAAGATTGTATTTTTCAGTTTTATCATTTCTATTCTATATTTTTATTTCTACATTTTATTTCCTTCCTTGCTTCTCATAGAAGTGTTGTGTTGTGCACCAAACACCAAGGCAAATTCCTTGTAAGTCTAAAAACCTACTTAAACCTTAATAAACCTTATTCTGATTCTGATTCTGATTAAACTGACCAAACATTTAGTCAAATAAATCTAAATTAAAGGTCAGTTAAGGGTACTTTTATGTGTCAGGAGAGGTGGAGCTGCTTATGTGATGCTCATATTTTTGTCTTTAGGTGGATGTTGGAATCGGACATCCATTGCTAATGTCTGTGACCTGAAGTAACCTCGGCCATTTTTACAGCGAATTTTTAGACGCTGAATTTGAGACAGCGAATTTGAGCAAGTTGAATTGGAGGACAACGAAAATAATGCATTTGAATTTTGAAAAGTTGCATTTTTTATATGCTGAATTTTTTAACACTGAAAATTTAAACTGTGAAAAATATGTATATTGAAAATTTGATCACTTTGAAATAGGAATGTGAATTTTTTTAATAACTGAAAATTGCAACTATGTAAAAAAAAATTACACTGAATTTTTTTTTTAATGTACAAATAATGACATTGAATTTTTTTTAGGTTAAAAATATATTCTGAATTTATTTTAATACTGAAAAAGTAAGCACTAATATACAACATTCAAATTTCAGAGGTATTTTTTATTCAAATTCTGATGGCACATATTTACTTCCATACTTGTAAGTCTAAAAACATACTTGGCAATAAACCCTATTCTGATTCTGATTAAACTGACGATAAAACAAACATTTAGTCAAATAAATTTAAATTAAAGGTCAATCCAGGGTACTTTTATATCTCAGGAGGGGTGGAGCTGCTTATGTGATGCTCATATTTTTGTCTCTCTGTCAGAGGACTTTGGGGCCTCCCGTCTCCAGCCTGATGAGTAACAGTTTTTGAAGGCTTTCTCTTCCCTGAATCCCCACTCCGACCGTTTAGTTTCCAGGGAGAAGTCCTCTGGATTAGTGGGAGAACATCTGTCTGTCTGGGGAACTCCCTCAGCTCCAGCTTCTCTCCAGGACGGTTTCAGATTTACGGCTGTTTTTCTGATTTATGGACCCGGCTATTAGAGCCCGTAAATCCCCAAACGCTGACTTTAAAACTGCTTAAACAGTTTGGATAACAGTTCGGGAGGTGACAGCTTAACCCTGTAATGCCAAATGTTGTCAAGGGGGTGGACGGAGATTTGTGAAAAAGGTTTATTTAAACAAAAACGCACTCAAAAGAG